AACATCCAACGATAATAATAATTTGAATGATGAAAAATCATCATCATCATCTGATGAAAATCAGATGCCGCCATCATCGTCACCATCATCATCAAATTCCGAAGACAGCGGTAATGATAAATAGTTTTCTTTTTGCATAAATAAATTGTCAATTTCATTGGAAAAAAAACAAAGCAAAATAAAAAGCCTAAAAACCTTAAAAAAATGAAAATTTCGTTGTTATTTTTGGTAAAATTTTCAACAAAAAAAAACATTTCAAATCGATCGATTATTAGAAACAAGCAGAAAAAAAAGTAAAAATTCAAGGACAATGAAAGAAAAGAAAAGAGTCAGGTATTCAAAATTTGATTCAAATGATGATAAGATTCTCTTTCTTTCTCTCTTTTGATCTTTACATAATTTATCAACCATATGTAGTATGTTTTTTTATTATCAAAAAATTTGAAATACATCATTGATTGATATGGTAAAAAAAAGAAGACATCATTCGATTTTTCATTCATTCAAATTAATGAATGATTGATTTTTTTGTTCGACATGACAAACTTGTGTTCGTTTTATTTCCAATGAAATAATCAATAAAGAACAAAAAAGCCGCAAAATTGATTAGAAAAAAAAAATATCGATCCTTGTTAGCTTGTTTGTTATCATCCTGATATTTCAGTCAATTTTTTTAGTTTGTTTCTTCCAAAATCGTTGATTAGATTCTCAGATCAAATATATTGAATCTTAGTTCATATTTGTATAGTGCATTTTACATGATGAAATTCGGATCAAAAAAAAAAAACATGCAATACATTATTTGTTCCATTTTTTTCATTTATTGCCGATATATTGCATCAGTCAGCTATAGGTTAATGGTCAAATTATCATTTGGATTCAATGATTCTGCGCGCTTGGCGAAAATTCTGGCGCCATTCATTCATTCATTCATTCATTTATTCTGTGGAAAAATATGAACAAGAAAAAAATCGTATGATTTTTTTTCTCTCTCTCTTGTGATTATTATTAAAATAATGAATGTCAGTGTTATTTATTATTCTCCGGCAAGAATGTTATTGTAGTTGTTTGTTTGTTGGCTTCTACTTGTCTGGATGGTTGGAAATGGAATTCAATTTACAAAATGAAAAAAAAAATTTCTATTAATAGACATTATCACATGAATTAGAAAAGAAAAGAAATCAGCAGCAATCAAAAAGCGAAAAGAAATTATAATTAAGTAATATTGTAGTAGTAATGTTTTTTTTAATAATCATCATTCCAGGATATATAGAAAATTAATCGATTAATTACAGGTTGATTGATTTAATTACAATATATTTTCTCGCCTGTCATTTGACAGGTTTCCAAACAAACAAGCAAAATTCTATTCTGCTTAATCACGTTGTTTTCTAATTCTTTTTATTTTATTGTTTTTTAGTCACATAATCATGTGATGTTTACCTGTGTGTTTATAAACAGCCATAAACAGGCCGGCCGGCCAATCCATTCAACGACAAAATATCGAAAGTTTAATGCATTTTTAAATTACGCGCGCGCCATGATTATCCAATATTTTGTTTTGTTTTGTTGGAAACGACAATCATCAACCATGATAATAATTTAACCTCGACTTTGAGTATGACATTCATTTATTCATTCATAGACACACACTCAACAAACACAAACACTCATCAAAAAAAAAGAGAAGAAGAAAAAAACCAATTTCACCATTCAATTTATTCGTGATTATCATCATAGATCGCGGCATTGTGGTAAAGGAAAAAAAACGAAGAAATTTTTTTTTCCTATACAATCTACCACCATGTGGTATATGATGAACCGTCAACGTCCACGATAATGATAATGATGATGATGGCCAGCAGCCATACCACTTTCATAGATCTAAACACCACTACCATTATGGTTAGAGAAAAAAAAATATTCATTATCTTCAATGAAAATCCGGTATTTTTTTTTTTTAATTGGACAAACTAAAATGAAAGGAAAGGAAAGAAAAAAGTTTTCAGCAAATGTTTGAAGCTTTTGATCATTTCAACGTTGCTTATTCAAGTCTTTGAGTATTTTGAGTTTCTCCAAACTTGAAGATATTGTTGCTGTTGTTGATGCGGCGCCAATTTTTCTGTTTTGTTTGTGTCTTCTAAACTTGAAAACAGCACTTGTTTTTTTTCGCATTGTCATTTTCATCACAATCTATATAGTTTTTTTACTTTAAACTAACTGTTGTTTGGATGTGTTTGTTTGTTTCCGATTTTGAATTTGATTCTATACATACACATAGACAGACAGACAGTGAAAGAATCCTCTACTATCCTGAACATCTGCATTATCATTATCATCATCATTGAAACGTAAGCAATTCCGTTCAATTTTTTTTCTTGTCGTCATCGTAACATTGTTACTGATTTTTTATTTATTTTTCTGCTTTGTCATATATCTGTTGTTGTTGTTGTTGATCAATTTGCCAATTGGCTGACGTCATTCTAAAATTGTTGGCTATATGATAATCATCATGATTGGTATTTTGATTTAATTTTCAAATCAAATCACATCATCTGCAATAACCTCGAAACATATTCATTACATCATTGAAATTCTTTTCATTATCATCATCATCATAATAACGGTAAGAATCATCATTTTTTTCCTCTGATTGTTTGAAACAAACAAACAAAAAACAAAACATCCTTCCATTTTGATGACGTTTTCTTCTTCTTCTCCTACTACCAATTTTACTGAATGATGATTTTTGTTTCCATTCATACATAGGTACTTTATTCATACATTTCATTTGTCGATTTGATTGGTAGAACAACACTCAACGAACACTCAACAGAGAAAATATCATAATCAACATTCAAACAAAATTTTTTTTTTTGGTTAAAACATCATAAGACGCATTTGATGTGATAGCATCCCGAAGTTTTTTTTTCTGGTATAATAATTGCGGCATATATAAACAACGTTTAATCATTATTTCAAATTTTGATTTCTATGTGAAAATTTTCATTTCCATTCATTTTCAGTGATTTCAAACCAAAATTTTATCGAAAAATTTTCTTCTTTCATCATCCTTGTTTTAATTATCAAATTTATTTTCTTCAGTAAATTCTACTTGTAATTTGAACAAAAATCAATCAACGAATGTCGAGAAAAATGTCCGAAGCTCAACGAAAGGTTTGTTGTTGTTTTTTTCTTTTCAATGTTTTTTTTCCATATCGACCAGCTATCGATTAGTTTTCTTTTTTTTTGCAATTTATTAAAAATGAAATTCTTAATGAATCCATTTGATCCACAATGCTATATAATACCAGTAGTAGTGGCTAGACGGTAGTTGTAGAATTTCTGTTTTAACAGATTCTTGAATTCAGAATTCTGAACCGTTCCAAATGTCAAACGTCCAACCTTGGATTCTTGTTTGTTATTATTATTCTGGATTCTGGTTCTGTTCGAGTTCTGTTTTTGTTGTTGTTTTGTCTGGTTTTTATTTACCGCATTCGGTTGCTAACATTCAAACTGAAAACTTTGTGATTCTTTTAAAAAATATAAGCTTAAAAAAATTCATTGGAAAATGTCCAAATCTAATGCAGTATGTTTCAATGAATATCTTTTTTCGAAATTAATTTTTTCCTTTTTTTCAATTGAATTAATATAGATTGATTTGGCCACACGTGCCCTGGTATTGACTAATGATCAAATATCAAAAATATCAAATTTACTTTTAAATGAAATAAATGAAGGTTTACGTCGTGAAACGAATCCAATTGCAAGTGTAAAATGTTATCCAACATTTGTTCGTGATGTACCGGATGGTACGGAAAAAGGAAAATTTATGGCCCTCGATCTTGGTGGTACAAATTTTCGTGTATTAGTTATCGATATTGATGGTGAAAAATTTGCTATGGATAATGAAATTTATGCAATACCTGTAGAAATTATGACCGGTACTGGTATACAATTATTTGATCATATTGCTGCTTGTATGGCATCGTTTATGGAAAAAAGAAATATTAAAAATTTAAAATTACCACTTGGATTTACATTCAGTTTTCCTTGTCGTCAAGAAGGACTAACTAAAGCACGTTTAGTATCATGGACAAAAGGTTTTTGTTGTTCCGGTGTTGAAGGTGAAGATGTTGTTTCTATGCTTAGAGAAGCAGTAAAACGTCGTGGTGATATTGATATTGATGTTATGGCTGTAGTGAATGATACTACCGGTACATTAATGTCTTGTGCACATAAAAATCGTGAATGTCGTGTTGGTGTTATTATTGGTACCGGTTTTAATGCCTGTTATATGGAACATAAAAGAAATGTTGAATTATTTGATGAAGATCTGCCTGGTCCAGATCAAGTTATTGTTAATACTGAATGGGGTGCATTTGGTGATAATGGTGTTCTGGATTTTTTCCGTACCGATTGGGATGATGAAGTAAATACTTATTCATTGAACAAAGGAAGACAATTGTAAGTTTGTTTTGTTTGTTTTTTTGCATAGTTTAAACTGATGTTTTTCTAAATTTTCAGATTTGAAAAAATGATATCCGGAATGTATATGGGTGAATTAGTACGTAGTATTGCTGCTGATCTTTGTCGTCGTGGTTTATTGTTCGGTGGTAAAGGATCATTGGAATTATTTACACCACATCGTTTCAAATCAGCATATGTTTCGGCTATTGAAGGTGATCCAGATGGTGATTATACTAATGTTATAAAAGCATTAGATGAAATGAATCTATCACATGCAACCAATGAAGATTATGAAGGTATTCGTATGATTTGTCATCGTATTTCATTACGTGCAGCACATTTAGCATCGGCTGCAATTGCAACATTATTGAATCGTTTAAATCGTCCACATACAACTGTTGGTATTGATGGTTCAGTTTTTAAATATCATCCAAATTTTGAAAAAGTTATGAATGAAAAAATTTTAGAATTAGTTAATCCGGGTGTTGAATTTGAGCTAATGTTATCCGAAGATGGTAGTGGACGTGGTGCTGCATTAGTTGCTGCTGTTGCTGTTCGACAACAAGAAGAATTACGTAAACGTGGCCGTTATCGTAAAATAACACCAATTCCTGATTCAATAAAACCATTGGTCAATGGTCAAACTACAATCAACAACAACAACAATAATAATAATCAAAATACTGCAAGTGTGAATTAGATTTTAAAAAACTAGAAAAAATTCCCAGAATTTGAATCAATTTTGAAAAAAATTTTTATTTTATAAGGATGTCAACGTGGCATCCAAACATCATCAATTATCATCAACCATCATCACTATTATGATCATCATCATCGTCCACATCTTCCATCATCATCTGTTCCAAGAAAATTTTCACAATTTTTTCTTTTTTTGCCTAAAAATCAATCAATATTTTTCAAGATCCAAAAAAACCTTGTTTTCGTTTGTGTTTTCCATAAATTATTATTATTATTATTATAGGCACGATATTTCTTATGATTAATGATTATCATTATTATTTTTTATTTTTAATTATTCAATGGTAATTTAGACAACATTTAAATTTTTTAAAAATAAAAAAAAATAAAGAATATTTTATTGGTTTGATTTTACAATGTAATAGAATCGATTGCCATTAAAACGGCAAAGAAAAATGATTTTAATTGTTTATTAATTATAATAGTTTTATCCAATTGTTTACGTGATAATGGTTTTAATTTATCACATAAATCAGTAAATTCATTATAATCACCACAACCATAATTAACAATATCACCTTTTATTGTACGAAATAGATCCATTAATGTTTCATGACCATTTTCAGTTATACACGATGTTGATGTTAATAAACGATCAGCACAACGTAATAATTCTACTTGATTGCTTTTTGATTTGATTGGAAAAATCATTATTATTAATCGATTGAAAATTTAAAACAAAAACAAAAACAAAAAACTTACCAACAAATATAATCAACTTTATTCAAACCGATACGATATTGTATTAGATCACGTGTACGATTAGCAAATATATTTAAACAATCAATTTGTTCAATAATCGTATTGAAACATTCGGATACTTGTAATAATTTTTGTTGTTTTTTATTTTGTTGTTGTTGTCGTCGTTTTTTATTACAAAATGTTTTCCAATATCTTTTTGTACTATAAAGAAATATTTTACTTATACTTGATGCATCATCACGAAGACATTCGTTTAGAAATTTTTCAACTATACTTATTATTCGATCAGTTTCCCTTTTTTTTTTGATTGCAAACAGAAGAAACAGACAATAAAAGTTGCAGATTAAAAACATTCATTACATTTCATTACATTACCTGCAAAATGGACCAACATCATTTTTGGTTGTTGGATAATGACGACCACCTTTACCAATACCAATTAAACGTATAAATAATCGATCAATATGTTCAATACGTTTATCATTACATATAGTTTTATTTGTTAATATTAATTGCTGTTGTTCAAATGATGATCCAACAAACATCATCATTATCAATATGGTTAGCTGAAATAACATTCTTTCCTTTTTGTTGCTGTTGTTGTTGGACCACTACACATTCATTCATACAACGTCAAATAGATTTGAGTTGGAAAAAAAATATAAATTTTTTTTTCTTTCTTCTTCTCAATAAAGAAATATTTTTTTAGCAGAAAACAAACTTGAATGAATTTCATTGCAATATAATAATAATCAATTACTTTTACTTATCTGTTTTTTTTTATTCACACATTAATTGAAAAACAGGTCTCTTTCTTTAAGAAAAAGTTTTGAAATTTTTCATATTTTGCTTATATGTTATTGATCAGATTATGCCTTGTATTTTTTTTTCATTCATTTCTCCAATGATGTTATTTGAAGGTGATGTTTGTTTTTTTGTTTGCAAACGTCAAATATTTATTACGTCGTTTGTTTGTTTGTTTGTAAACGTGACCATTTGATTAGCGAACGCTTTAATCAATTGACTAACAGAGTCGATTTTTGAAAATTGCAAATGTCGAAACAAATAATTATTATTTGACTTTGACAATGAAAATTTTCATTTTCATTTAGACCTTGTTTTTGTTTTTGCTTTTGTTTTGTTTCCAGAACAGAACAAAATTGGTAAACAAATCAACAAAAGTCAGAAATAAGGACCAAGGTAAAAGAGTTGGATAGTGGTAAAATATTTTCTTTTAAATATGAAAATCATATGAATTTGTTATTGCTGTTTTTCAATAAGCTTTAATATTTATGCAATTAAGATTTTTAATTTATTCAATTTTTTGAATAAAAAAAGATGATGATTATCAATAATATCACGTGTTAACAAAAACAGAAAAAATTTTCCAAACAAAAACAGAGAGAGAGAGAAAATTACGAAGATCATAAATTATTTTGATTTTGAACATTTTCAAGGCTGAGCAGCAAAACCACCAATCGATTCAATCAAACCAATTTGTGCTAATACAATCGATCTAAATTTAGTAAATTTATATGATTTATCTAATTTATTTTTAGGTAATGGTGCAATATGATCACAACGATCAGTTGATTCAGTATAATCACCACATGCAAAATTAACCATATCACCAGCAATCGATCGTACCATATCCATTAATATTTCTTTACCTTTATTTGTCATACAAGGTACTGATAATTGTTCTTCGGCACATTTTAATGCATCAACATAATAACAACAGGCATAGTTAATTTTCGTTGCACCAATATTATATGGTATCAATTGTAATGTTTGATTAGTAATTTTATCAACACAATCAATTTTATCCACAATAGTATTAACACATGGTGTTGTTTCTAATAAATTTTGTAATTTTTTTGTTCGTTTTTTCATACATAATGTCTTGACAACACGTTTAGCACTGAAAAAATATATTTTAAATATTCTTTGTTCATCAGGTGAATAACATTCGTTAATAAATTTTAACATTGAATCGATTAATCGATCAGTATCTCTGTGGAAGAAAAAAATGATTTTTAACAAAATTCTTCAAAAAAGCACATTGAAATACTTACTTGCAAAATTTAGGCAATTCATCATAAGATTCTGGAAATTTTCGGCCATTTTCACCAATAACAATTAATTTCATAAAATTTCGATCAACTTCACGTAAACGTTTTTGTGTACATTCAGGTTTATTTAGCAATAATGATTTAGCAGCATTGGCTGTTATAAATATTGAACAACCAAGAAAAATTAGGAAAAAAATTTTCGTTTGCATCATTTTTTTCAGTTTTCTCGGAAAAAATTATTGGAAAAAAAACAAATCGATTTGCAAAAATGAATGAATGATGAGGATGTTTCAAGTATTTATATTCGATGTGCTCTTTTTGGGCACAAATTCTTCATCAATGTTTCTGGTATGTATCGCTACCACACCAAAATGCGTCCATGTCACGAATCATCATCATCATCATCAATAATGATCATCATTTTTTATCGCCCAATAAACAATTCCATTTTACGTCATAAATTCGAGAAGAAACTATGATTGATTAATCTGAATAAATGAATGAATGAATAGAAAAGTTGTAACCAATTGAATTCAGATTTAAGTATCGATCGACAGGTAACCAAAAAAAAATCATCATTAATTCTTCTTCGTTTTTTTGGGATGTGATGATGTTAATAAATGGTAAAATTCGATGCTTATCATGATAAATTATCAAGCGAAAGAGAAAGAGAAAATTATGAAAATAACCATATCTTATCTCATCGATCAATTGGAAAGTACGTTAAAAAAACAAGAAAAAAAAATTATTATCAAAAGTCACGTCTTGATGAACAAGTTTTCGCACGTCAAATGGTTGTTGTTGTTGTCTTCGTCATCATAACTTGCTTATATAGTTGTTCGTCTTGTCGAGGGTGGTTTTTCTTCAAGCCAAAATATCAATGATAATTAATTATCGTTTACAAAGTTGAATTTTTTTAAAAGATTTCGAATTGATTTATCGATATTTTTCTTGAAATGATTCTTCAATGGTGATTGGAAAAAAAACTTTCAAAGATTCAATGATAAATTTCTAAATTATCATCATAAACTTCGGTAATTTCAATATTTTCGGGCAAAATATCCTGCGTATCCAATGTTTGTGAATGTTCTTGTAGTAGATTAGTATCGTTTAGTATAAGACTTAATTCATGATTCATAATGGCACGAATACGATCAACCGAACCTTTCGATAGCCAACCATCTTTTTCTGTACATTCAAATTCTTGACCATCATTTTCATGTATAATCTGTTGTACTTGATCAATTTCAATATCACATAATTGAAATGTTGTACGTTTCAATGTTGATAATTGTCCAGGTCGAAATAAATAGCTTGGATCAATGCTGTTATCATCATTTTCATTGTTGGATAGAGATTTTGTACCAAATTTATCTAGAAATGAATTTGTATTATCCTTAAATATTGTCCCCTTTTGATTTAAAGGAATCTGATTGATTGCATGTATAGTTTGATCATTTTTTCGGTTAGCACGTGCTTCAATTGTTTGATAAATTTTTGCTTTTGGATCTTTACGTGGATCATAACCATATGGAATCCATAATGCACGAAATGGTCCATTTTCAAAATAATAAGTTGTATATGGTAGAATATATCGTAATAATAATGGTGAACATTTTAGATGACAAATTAGACCATATCTTGACCAACAAAATCTTTCATCAAATTTTTCCTTAATTTTACGTGCCAATTCTGAACGAAGTAAATTTTTATCAAAATCTTTTCGATATTCTTCGGGTAATGATTCCGGAACCGATTCATCATCCCATCGTACGACAGTAAAATTAACTTTACGTGATTTACGAAGTCGACGTATTAGATCCTGTTGTTGATCATTTTTTTCAACATCTTTTCGCATCATAGCAATCAATTGTTTTGGTTGAAAAAAACGTGAATAAAAATATTGTTTCATCATTGTAATACTTTGATCATTTTTGATCGATGAATTTGGATCACAATTTAGAATGAAATCTGATTTCATAAATTCATTACGAATATCACTAGAGGAAAAATTAAATCAATTTTAATTGATTAATTGAATTCAAATTAATTTTAATTTTTACCTAGAAGTGGGCAACAATTGCATATCACAAATTGAATTTTCAAAATGAAATGTTGTATTAATAATACCGAATGGTTCAAATTGATAATCACTGAATGTACCATCAGGTTGACGTTTTCGTCGAACTTTCAATACTAAATCTCTTGATTGTTTACGATCGGAAAATAATGGTATCGAATTTGGATCATCTGGACGAAAACGAAACCGCAAACGTTCACGTTCATTTTTAAATGTTTGTCCAATTTGATTTAAACCACCACAACATTTATAAAAATTTTGTAAATTTATTACTTTAGCCGGACTATCGATGACAAACATTTGTTGAAGATTTTTATTATTCGAATCCATTTTTAACCAAAAAAAAAAATCGAATGGAAAAAATATCAACAATGATAATCACATAAGAATCATACAAATGATAACCATCAGATGGCATTACATGTTCATATAATGCGCATGCTTTTATCGAACATTGACGGTGCCATTTTCCTCTTGTTCGTTCGTTTCTTTCCTTCACTTCACTGGTTCATCGAATCGAATGCTTCCATCAAAGTAGTGGTGGTGGTGAGCTCGCGAGCTAAGATAATATTATTATCTCCAACAACACCACTATCATTTCTTTTTGTGTTGTTTCAATGCGGTTTATTTATTTGTTTCATCAATTTTTTTTCTCTCGTAATTTTAATCATTTTTTTTTTGTTTTCCAAACGACAATATTCTGATAAATCAAATGAAACATTGATTTTTTTTGTTTGTTTTTTTAATTGATGTGAACCATTTTTAAAACAACAATAAAAAAAATGGCATCCGATGGACCGGAATTAGATCTTTATGCCGATGATATTGGTGATGAATTTTCACAGGTAAAAATTTTGGTTTGTTTGTGTATTGATTATAACTTTTTTTTTGTTGAAATTTTTGAATAGGAATATGTTGATAATGATCTTTATGATGATGTTCTAACATCAAATTCTTCAGCCAAACGTAATACAAATCAAAGTAGCAGCGGTGGTGGTGGTGGTGGTAATCAGAATAATTCTTCGAACAACAATAATAATGATGATGATGATGATGATAGTCAACAACAACAACAAATAAATGGAACTGGAAATAATTCCAGCAACAATAATAACAATTCAAATTCACAGACAAATAATTCATCGGGTAATAATATTCCATCAAGTATTTTACTTGGACATGGTAATCAATCATCATCATCGTCGATGAATGAAATTACATCATCCAATCATTATGGATCATCATCAGCAATCAGTTCAAATAACTCTGCTCGACGGCCATCACTTTATGTTGGTAATCTAACATGGGTATGTTTTATGTTTTATCATTGTAACATTTATTTATTATTTTTTCATATTCTTTTTTTTCACAGTGGACAACCGATGATGATATAATAAAAAGTTTAAATAGTATCAATGTTAATGATGTTACTGAGGTTAGATTTTTTGAAAATCGTGCCAATGGTCAATCGAAAGGATTTTGTACAGTTTATTTTCAATCTGAACAATCTGTTCGTACTGCATTGGAAAAAATGAAACAAACGTAAGTAAAATTTTTGTTTGTTGTTTCTATAGAAGCCATCAATGTTTTCGTTAGAAATAGTTTTGACATTTGAAACAATAAACTATTTCTTCCATAACATTGATAAATTAATATTCAGGTTGATTTAAATAGTCGATTATTCATTTTTTTACCGATATGATTTCGAAGAGCAATAACCTAACATTTTTTTACCCAAAATCACACAGTGTCATACATAATCAATCACCAATGGTAACATTATGTAATCGACAAAATTTAAATAATTTTGAACTAAAAGCTGGTCGTAAACCTGGAATGAATGGTCAACAATCATCATCTTCGGGTAATACTGGTGGAAATTCTAATTCTAATAGTGGTAATGTTGGAGGTAGTAGTGGCGGTGGTAGTGGTGGTGGTGGCCTTCAACAACAACATCAACAATCAAATAGTCATCATCATCAGAATAATTTTTTGATGCAAAATAATCGTAATTATAATCAACAGAATTCGAATCAAATTCATCAACAATCTTCACATCGACCACCATTGATAGCGCGTCCGATGCGTCCAAGTGCACCATTATTAAGTCATCATTCGAGCACAAGCGGTAGTTCTAGTGGTGGTGCAGGTGGTCATTCACAACCACGTTTATCAATGCCACATCCAACATTATCATTTGGTAATACTGGTAGTAGTATGTTGGGTGCTGGCTCCAACCAATCCGGTAATCATCATCATCAATCATCATGGAATAATCATTTAATGTCGAATGGTCCACGTAATAATCCATTACAATCGGCCAATGCAAATGCATTGAATCCAATGTTACGATTGAATCAAGGTAATCATCGTTCACTTTCAAATCAACCATTATTAAGTGCACCAGGTAATCAATCATCGTTAGATCTTCGTTCACAATTATCATCAGGTTAGCCTAATTGAATTTCAATTTAATTGTTTATCGATTGTAAATGTTTTAAATAATTATTAGCTGGTCTTACTGGTGTACATGGCCAGATGACACAAGCTGCATTGTTTGCATCACAATCAGGATTGAATCTACCACCGGGAGCAAATGATCTATTTTCAAATCGACTTACTTCATTAGGTGTTGGACCATTCGGTCAGAATGCAGCTGCAGCTCATTCAATGTTTGGTGATCGTTCCTTAGATCCATTATCATCGATTGGTCATCATCATCATCATCACCATAATCAGATGAGTGAAGCAGAATTTGAAGAAATATTGAATAAAAATAAAAATCTATCCAACACGGTTATTTCACAAGCCGTATCCGATGCATCTTCCGGTAATGATTGAATTTTCTGATTCATGAAATTGTTAACAATTTAATGTTGTTCATCTTTTTCTTTTGCAATAATTGTATAGGCGATTATTCGGCTGCTATTGATAAACTATCGACAGCCATATCGTTGATTGAAGGTTCACGTGTATCAAAAGATGAACGCTGCAAAATAATCATATCGACATTACAAGATACATTGCAAGGTATCAAACAGAAAGCATATTCCAGTGGTGGATCAAGAAGTAAATCTGATCATCGTTTAATGCGTTCACGTTCACGTGACAGAGATGATCATCGAACTGGCGGAAGTTCGTCACATCGTGGTAGTGGTGGTAGTAGTAGAGATCGAGATCATAAAGATCGCGGAAGAGGCGGTGGTGGTGGCCGTGAGCGTTCACGATCACGTGAACGTGATTATCGAGAACGATCTAGGGATCGTTATCATGAAGATCATCGATCACATTATGAAGATCGTTATCGTGAAAAGGATCGCGATCGAGATCATCGTGGTCGACATTAATAAACAAATTTGAATTTTATTCATCAAAAATCGCCACTAAACACATCATCAATAACAACTTAATCCATCTAAACACCGATTTCATCTTTCATCATCAACACCCAACAACAACGGTCATAATCATAGTCTTAATATCATCCGGCAAAAAAATGAAAATATTTAATACTTGGCTGCATATTCGGTTTTTTTGATTTTATATTTGTATTTCCTAATAGCATCCTAATATTATGCCATCACATATTAACCATCGAGAAAAAAGTCATCAAATCATCATTATCATCGTCAGAATATTTCACTTTGTTTTCCCAAAAAAAACAAACATTTATCCAAATCATGTCCACATAATGAATGTCAAATGTAATCAATCAATCAAATAATGTTAGACGAAAAAGGAAGAGTTAATTGACTTGTTCAATGAAAAAAAATAACAAGCAACATCTGTAAATTTATCAATCATCAATGTTATACGGAAATGATGATCGATCAATCGATCGATAATCCCCACAAATACAAACAATTGTTCTAAGTAAGTAGAAAATGAATTTATTCGAACAGAAGATTCGCATTTTGAATATTTTATTACATGATTTTTTTCACGATGATAATGATGTTACTCAATTTCCTAATTTTTTAAACATATAATTATTCATGTCATGTTTTTTATTGGTTATTTTATTTCTCACTCTTTTTTTCACTTTTATCATTCAAATGCCATATGATGATGATGGACAATATTGATTTTTTTGTTGTTGTTGTTGCTGTCTATATTTCATTTATATATTTCAAAAAAAAACTACATGACATTTTAACCATCACTGATTATGATGATCATGATGATGAATTTGTCCATTTGTCAACCAAAATTATTATATAACTGATCCAAAAAAAATATGACTCTTTACAAACAAAATTATTTATTCTGATCCTTGTACATATTATCATCATCATTATATATCTCAAACGACAATCAAATCACATTTTACCTCTTTTTTCTCTATCTCTTTCACCAACTCATTTTTTTCCTTTTGATTGAAACAAAACAAAAAAAAAAGATGAATGAATGTGTTTGTGTGTGTGTGTATGTTCAATGTAGATTTGATGAAATTTAAATTTTCTCAAGTTAGGAATTTTTCTTTTTTTTGTTTGTTATCATTTTTGTCAAAATTTTATTTTCGTGAACCATTCATCAAAAACAACATTTTTTCTGTCTGTTTGTTTCATCATTTTTATTTTAATATATATTACATTTCCCCCCATCACCAACAAAATTCATTCATCAATTCAACAGAAAAAAAAACATATCATTTGTTGACAAGATCTTTTTCTTTTCCTATTTATATCGATTCTCAAGATGTATCAATTATCTATTTATTCAAATTCTTGTCAAAAATTTTTTCCAGTTTCAAAAAAAAACATTACTTATGTAGGATATGTGTATAATTTGACCATGTAAAGGTGTGTGATATCTGTATAGGAGACAAGTGTGATATATTTTTTAAAAAATTTTGATTCTTTTCAGGTATTATACTAAATGATGTTTTAAAACACACACACACACGCAATGTTTGATCTCATATTTTGTTTTTTTTTATTTTAAAAATATTGATAAACTTCCTGTGATATTTTTATATAAATTACTACTTTGATAGTCCAAATGTGACCACCAAAAAAAATATTTCGTTATTGTACGAATTTAGATTGAAAAAAAATTATAATAATTTTTTTTTGGATAATAAACATGATATTTACGGTTATTACAAATAATATAAAACATTTTGTTGTGGTTGACATTTTTTGTTTTCTTTTATGATCCAAATACGATTCATTTATAAAAGGGGACAATCACCAAACAGCAATCTTGGTTTTTCATTTTTGAAAAAAATAAATAATATTTTGCAAACCAAAAACCTAAAACTAATTTGTTTTGTCAATTTAATTGAAAAAATTTAGGATTTTAGAGCGCGAGGATACCGTGGTCCAAAAAAAATTGCCCGAATTTCCAATCACATGGCTCATTCAATGGATTTTTTTGCTGTAGACATCGTTGCTGATTTGATTTGCACACACAAACATCATCATTATATATTTTTGGCATCATTTTTTTTTTGGTTTAAATTTTTCAACTTACACCCTATCTTCATATACACATAGCAGATAATTTCAACAAACAAAAAAAAATTGTTTTAAATTTTTCAAAAAAAAATGCTGATTATAATGAATACAAAAAAAAATATTAATGATTATTATAATTAATAATGATGATATATTAAAAAAAAAAATTTTCTCTTTACATTTTGTTTTGTTTGTAATTTGTTTTTAAAAATATTCATTGTTCAAAAAAACAACAACAAGTGTTTTATGTTACATAATGTTTGATATGTTATTTTGTTGTTGACAATTTTCATTTTGACACTATTAGTCAAATAATAATTGATTGAAAACCGGCTGTTTATTTTGTAACATGACAAGGGTAGCTAAGTTTTTCATTAATGATTATGATGATGGCGAAGCTTGTTTTACTCTTAGTCTTTTCGTTTAAAAAATAAACTACAACAACGATCACA